AACTTTAATTCTGGGCAGGTCTGAAGCTCCCTAAGAGATGATCTGCAATAGAAATCCTCCTGAACTTCCAGCGAGCTCCTGCTAAAACCATGAGCAAGAAAGCCTTTGCTAGCTTTAGTTGCTATGCCAGTTGAGGCTGTTCTTGGAATGGGAAGCATAAGTAACAATATTTTACATCCCTGTCACCTTGTAATTGGGCTACTACAGTTCATTCTGTATGGGACTAGCTTTGAGGATCAGGGACTATAGCTGGTAAAAAATGCAACTGCTCATAATTAGTAGGGGAGAGGTATTACCGCCACGTTGCATCTTTAATATGGGAACTACACTGGCTTCAGTTTTGCTTCCAAGTACAATCTAATCTATGCACTATTCAAATTCTCATGTCTATAATCTTTAACAAGGTGGTACAGTGCATCATATAGCTATGATTTTAGAATCAAGGTACCTGAAATGAGTTAATGTATAGAATGTGTCTGAAATCTGGGACTATGACTTCCGCAGAATTGAAATTTGACAAAGCTGAAATTGCTTCAGTGCTGCTGTGCTGCCATCACCCAGAAATTCAGTAAATCAGTCCCACTCTAATTCTCTGGAGGCCAGATGGACTGGCTCCTCCTTCCGCCTCTGGAGATCATGTCAGTCCCACATTAGCTCTCTGGAGACTGGGAAGGAGTGTCCCACATCAGCTGCTTTAGGGCAGTCAGTTGCAGACAAGCTAACAAGCAGTCAAAAGTGGCTTCCATTCCCATTGCTTTTTGCTTTTTTTCTTCTTGTCATTCTGTTTCTCTATTTAGATAAGGAAATATCTCTGAAACTATAATCCAATGGGTCATGGATTGTTTAGTGATTTATATGGCTTTGGTTCTGGGCTTTTTTTGACATCAAAGAAGCTCATTTGATTTCAACAAGCCGATTTGAAATTATAATTCCCTGCCATTTGGGAAAAAATGGGATAGGTTCCCCAAAATGCCAGTCCTTTGAGATGGCCTTCAACATCTGGAACATTTTGCCTTTAAATTTTAACGGCTCCCTTCCTGTTAAAATTCAGGAAGTTAAAATACTGCTGTTTCATGTAGTTTTTATGGAATAAGCTTTATGCTACATTTAAATTATAGGTGTGTTACCTGGTAAGTTTTTATAACAGATTTTATTACTTTTTTGATATTGATAATTGATCTTCTCATTCAATAATTACTAGTTTGTATTCTACTATATTTATTTCATTGTACTGTAGGAAGCTGTTTAGTGTCAGTACTTGAAATGGCATACCGCTTTTGTAAATAAGTAAATTATGTCATCAGCAATGCAGACTGCTGTTCTGAAGTTCTGCATTTTTTAGTCCGCTGAAATGAGTGGAGCTTCTCTATCAGGACTAGATCCATTGGATTTCTTGTTCATCCTCAAAGTCTTCAGTTAAAATACACAGTTTTAACCTATTAGAAAAATCCTGGAAATAACTACTATTGGGCCTACATCTTTTCAGTTTTGCATTTCACAAACAATTTGTACAGTACGGTAGAAGAAACCAACAATAAGGAACATTATAATAAACTTGTTTTTTTTTTAAAAAAAGATGGAAGTTATCTTAACTATACTAATTTAAATCCAATAAAGACATAGTCCAGCATTATCTGAAGTGGATGGCAATGATTAAGCAGAGAAATGAGGCCATTTCAAGTCGTCTATCCCTAATATGGCTTTTTCTGGTTTTCATGATTGCATCATACATACAGGTATCAGAGGAACAATTAATCAACCAAGACATCAGGGGTGGAATTACTCAGTGTATCCTTGTTCTCCACTCATGTGCTGCATTAATCTGTTTAAACTACTTTAAAAAGTTTTAATTTTAAAAGATTCAACATGCATATTTTAAAGGATAATTTACAGATAAATATCCTATTCTCACAAATAGTCATTATGATTACTTCCAATATTATTTTCTCTATTCTGTGCATTTAGTTTTTATTTCTCTTTATCAGACTTATCCACCTAAAAAAAACCTTTTAGGATCTACATCTCATTTTCTATGAACATATTTGTATTAACTATTCAAACATTTAATAAACACTCAACAAAGTCCTCTGAAATGCAGAATATAGTGTTTTTTTCGGAAGAAGTCTAATGTTAAGCTTTAGTAAAACTATTCTGTTATAAATCACAAACTTTTTTCTAAACAAATCAGTAAAACAGAGTACATGATTCTAGGATCTGATATATACTGTAACTTATAATGAAACACCTTTTTGACAAAAGCTCCCCTCCCACCAAAGCATCTCATATCTGAAAAAAATAATACAGCTCTACATTCACAAACAGAAGTATTATTAAATTAAAGCTTAAATGAAGACTTGCATTCAACAGACAAATGCTTAAATCCAAATAACTGGATCATAATGAACTTTTTGGGAAAAAAATAAATTTCTGACAGTATATTATAGACATGTTCACAAAATGATTAATATGGGTGGGGAGTTTGCCTATTCATTAAATAGCTAACTGTAAAAGAGTTCATAATCAGCTACACAACATATATTTTACCAGAACAGAAAGAAATGAAGTTGCTCTCCACACTATTCCCCTATCCCCCAGAATGTTCTCTATCCATCCAACAAATCTTTGTCTGTTTTTCCTGAACAGGTGAGCAAACTTCCAAACAAAACACTGAGCTGTACTATCTATCATTTTATTAGTCCTCTGAATACCTACTCAGCTCAGAGAAATTATTCTAAACAAATATGATGCCACAGGCTGGAACTTCACATTATAGTGTGCCAGCTCCCCATTTTTAATTCAAGCAATCTAAAAAATTGAGAGAGCATAAGGAGTTGAGGGGCATTAAGAATACACCTATAGATACAGATATACCATGCTGCCTATCAGAACTGCAACCATCTATCTAGTTACCTAGCATAACAAATATCTTGAAGAACCGTGTTGTTTCACACAGCCATAGGATTGCTGCATACAGATGGACCCTGCAGAAAACACAATTTCTTTAAAACCTATGGAACAAGTTACTTGTCCTCATGAATTTAAAGAAACAAGATAAATGGCTGATGAAGCATCAAAATTTGAGTGTGAATAAAGAGGATTCTAATCATTTGCTTGCTCTATTCTTAGCAGTATTACCTGCTCACAGCTAAAAATATGAACTTATAACTAGTACTTTAATGCCACTCTCCATTACCAGCTGTTACAGTCTGCTATCTAAACTTGTATTATCCCTTAAGACATCTTCAAGTTGAAGTGCACACTGCAAAATTATCCCATGCAGAATTTGCTTCATTTGCATTTTATTTCAAAGAAATACAACTTTTTTTCCCCTCTCTAGGTTATAAAAGCTTGTATCCCAGAAAGACTATAAATGTAACAGTCTGGTTTACAATGAATTTTAGCTTTGTTGGATTACTTAGATGCATTTGCAGATCTCAGTTATGCATTGTGATGTGTTCTTGTTTAAAAAGTGAGATTTAACTGAAATGTAAATATATATTAAAAATGTCTTAAAATATAAATTTATAGAGTTTTGACAGTCTGAGTTATTCTAAACTTCTATAGTATTTAATTTTGTTGCCATACTGTACCACAACTATCACATTCCAAATATTAATAAAACAAAGATAATAGCCTGTAAAGTTCATGGCATGTAAGAAAACAGTGAAAAACTAAGCACATTTGATTTAGTTATCAGCTAAATTCTTACATACAATTACTTTTAAGAAAATTCTTCTTAATTCAATGGGACTCAAATACTGAGACTATAATACTATATTAATGAAAGAACCAGAGTGATAGTTTTTCAGTATCTAGAAGACTATTCTAAAAAAAAAAACCCAGAAAATTTATTATAAGAATCAGAGGCTTTTAAACATCTTTTATTAACATGCATTCAGCCAATTCAGTTTTCTTAGTAACCTACTGAATACTTTTCTCCAGAGAAATGAATGAAGGAGAAACAAGCATCATCACCATGGTTAAAGTTTATCGTATAATGCTATTACATCTGCTTCACAAGGATGATTTGTTATTACTTTTGCTTTACAATATAATGACCCCCCCATCTGCACCACCCCATGCAATACCAAGTAATGGCAAGAATGTTTTCTCTATTTAAATTTATTTCAATATTGTATTTTCCTAAACAAAAATGATATTTAAGAAAATGTATACAAATATATTTTTCATATTGAGGATTTCACCAAAGAGGAAGCTTCAAGAACTGTAAAACTCTCACAATTCTAATTCTAAACACATCACCAGAGAGTCAACCAACCTCTGGCTTCTCTTGTATCTTATTCCTTCCTAGGCACAAAAGAAGCACTATGTGAGAGCAAAGTAAGAACAATACTTCTCAAACAATGGAAATACTCAACATTAAATGTTATAATGCCTTTAACTGTTCTAAGATACTTAAACTGTGATGATATGCATGCTTACTTGGTCTTAAAAGCCCAATGAACTTAGTGGGACAGATTTTCAAATTAACAAGCACAGAATTAGACGCCAGATATATATATATATTTTTTGCCCAGAACACCCAATATAGAATCGAAAACTAAAAACAGAAAGTGTTAGAAAAGAACAATATTAAATGTTTACAACTAAATATTTAGTTAGCTGGCACATCAACCAACTCTTTAAAAAAAAGGTGGCAGGTTAGATTACAATGTAATCTAGGTAATAAATCCACTAAATAGAATTTTGAAGGTCAGGAAAACCGGATGCCTTCGATTTTGGAATTTAGAGCGTTTTCCATCTTTACAAAATATAGTCCTTTGAAAACGGTGACTACAATAGTAGAAGAGCAAAAGTTTACAGGCTTCCATTCAAGCATAGGTCCCCCCCCCTCCCTTCAGAAAGGAAAGCTAAAGCCTGCACCATTGGGGAAAAGAGAACAATGAACTTCTGCAGATGGCTGACACTGGGGGAGGAAAAAAAAGCAAAAAAGCACCACGACTCTAAGCCTGAACACAACAGTAAAAACTGCTCTTTACCTGGAGGGTCCATTTCGATATAAAATATCAGCTCCGTGGAATACGGCATCATCACTTCTCTCCAGTCCGTATCATCGCGATCCATATCCCACACTGTATTGTACATTGTGACAAACAGGCAGGTGGGCGACGATCGCTCGGGAGCTCTCTTGGCCAGGACTCTCTTTTACTTTTTTTTAAAAAAAATATAAAAGTCTGGCACAGCACGAAGTAAAAAGCCTAGGCTCCCGAAGCATGTACAAAAAAAGAGAGAGAGAGAGAGAGAAAACCCGGGAGGGGGTAGAGAAGAAACTTTCTTAAGAATAGCTCGATGGCTTCCTCTTCAGGAAAACCACTCCCCTCTCAGGAAGCAAGAGAAATGTCCCCCTCTTTCAATTTCCCCCTTTGCTTCGAGGGAACGGAGCCGCTTATTTCAGCTTCTTTCTCGCAGATCCAAAATAAAAGATGGGGGGTAGACAATATATATATATATATATTAATGTTTTAAGATGAGAGAGATCGAAATTTGGGGAAACGGAGCTGCTTGGAGGCAGTTAGCAGATGGGGGGGGGGGGGCGGGCTTGTTCTTAAAAAGCAAAAGTTTTAAGACAGGTCTATAACAAAACCCTCCCGGTGCTCCCTAAAGCCAGCAAGGCAGCCGCGGCGGACAGACAAGCCTCGCTTCTCTACCCCTTTTCAGGGGCAAAGCTCGACACCGCCGCCGGTTCAGCGACGCTTCCGTTCCCCTCGAAGCCCCAGCGCTCGGCGGCGCTCACTGCTGCAAGCAGCGGCTCCCAACCGGCTTCTGGCTCCACGCAAGCCCAGGCTCAGCTCTCGCGCGCACTTTGGTGCTCGGCTGTTCCCAACCCCGGCCAGTTTCATTTTAAAGAGGCACCCAGGGCCCCAACCGTCGCTAACCGCCTCTATGCCGGGGATAAGCCCCGCCTCAGAGGTGGGAAGAGAGAGGGCCAAGCGAGAGCGAAGCCACGCCCCCCTCGGTTTAACTCGCTCGTGCTCGGGCTGGAGATTGAGCCGAAGGGCTTCCTTTTTTTTTTTTTTTGCGCTTCTGGCGAAGTACCTTGGCCGTGCCAAGAAACAAAAGCTGCTAGAAAGCGGGGAGAGTCGGCTTCCAGTTTTACCTCTAATTGTTTTTGAGATTTCATGTATATATGTGTATATATAGTGCAAGTGGCAGTGATGCGAGGAAGCTATGCCTCCAGCTGGAGCAGCTGGCGACAGATGCCCCTCCATCACCCCTCTGCGCTATGTGAATGTATGCCTACCCCCCCCCGCCCCGCTCAGCGATAAAGCCGCCAGAATATTCAGAGATAGGAGACCCTTCTTCCCGTGCCCCCCCCTATTTTTTTCTCAGACGGCACACAAAAGATGCAACCCCCCCCCAAAAGGGTCCACTTGATTCCTGTCATGGTTTGACAACGCGTAGCAAAGTAAATGGTAGGTTTATCTTTCACCATGTATTTCCTGCATTTTCGGTTGGTATATAGATAATATTCGGAGGTTGTATGCCTGCTGCTGGGGCTGGGACTGTTTGCAGATGATGATCTGTTGCACCGGTGACTCTATAGCTCTTTAATATACACAAAGAACAGGGAGAACTTGGAATGTGCTTAATATTTCAGTATGGAATTCTGTGTGTATTATCGATACTATATGATAGGTCACCCTCAACAGTCCATCATTTGAATGACTGATGTAAAATATGGAAACTCTAGACGTGTACTTTATGAATAGCTTTGAATGATGCACATATGGTAGTTTAGAATGTGAAAACTGTCTACTGGATATCAAGCTAATAACTAAGCATTTTAATATTCTTAACTACTAAATTTAAGAATGACTATTAAAACTGAAGTTAGGACTCAGTGTATTTTATTCTAGTCTTGTGTAACAATTCACATAGGTGTACAATAAATCTCCATGTATAAATAGAAGGAAACTGGCTTTTCAAAGGGAAAAGTACACTATCAATTGGGTTTTCATGGCTAGTCATGGTAGTAGTTGAAGTTGAAAAGGCTTTGAACAGTTGGTATTTCTTTTATCTCTAACAAACTGTAAGTTCAAATGTATGTCTTGATCAAGTGAAAATATTATCAGTCTTTAATTATTTTATACCTTTGTGATGCATGCTTACAAACACATCACCAGTGTCTCAGTGTATTTCAGAATTATGATTAAAGTTAATGTGTAACTGACAGTTGGATGACTTACAGAAATTTTGGGACTATGCAACTGTTCAGAGAGATATTCTTATTTTAAGTAAGTCTTATTCTCACTAGTTGGGTTACTCTGAAGATGTAGGATTGGTGTCTCATTATGATAGTGCTATCTGCTTGGATTGTTGTCAAATTCAAGTAGTGTGATTAATTGGCAGAGTATGTTAATGATTTTCCAAAATATAAAAAGTATATGTTCACCTTATACTAGTTAAAATACTTTCCAGCATAGAATCTGACCCTATATATACATATATATATACATATATATATAGTTGATCTCCCCATTCAGATACTGAGGTTTGTTAAATTTCAGTGCTGTGTCCCTTAAAATTCAAAATCTAATCATGTTCATGATTTGATCATAAGATATTGCCCAAGCATTAATATTTGGAAGAATGGCTATATAGTACTGAAGAATAGTGTACTAACAACACTTGCTTTCATCCATTATGTTTGTGATGTATTCTGTATATGTAGAATCAGAATGTTCCCCATCACCCATAACCACAATTCTCTTGCAGCACATTATGAATTATTGACATGGTTACTCATTGTAATATTTGTGATCCATAGCCAAGCCTTGCAGGATTATTTGTGGTAATAAGTTATCATATGGAAGAATTATCTGCCCAATCACATATGGTACATGTATATTTATTTTGCTTCATGTTTATACAGAATATATGTGATGGAAATGTTGGCCTATGATGCCATTATTTACAACTGGAGTAAAGTCAATGATACCTACAGTCATTCTAATTAGGTTTCTAATTAGTAACTGACACTTAACATATCATCTAGCTAATATCCTCACTTCACTAAGGTTATGCCAAAGTCTCTTGATGAGAATCTGCTTTAGTTTAACAATGACGAAGTTGTCAGTAAATTCAATTCCAGGACCAGCTTGTTGCTATCCTTGAAGATTTCCACTAGTTTACGGTTAATAAGCAAAGAGTTTAGGTATTTTAAAGCCCAGATGTCTTCTTATGCTCAAGGTGGAGATTAGTTGTTTAAGCAGATATTTAAATAGCTTTAGATACATTGTTAGAACTTTCAAGTTCTTTGTGACAGAAGAGGGCCTGCCTGCTTTATTGTAGTATATGGAGCAACAGCATTATTTGGTAGGGAGGAGGGTTTGTGTGTGTGTGTGTGTTTGGAATATATGTGTGCATTTTCACTTTTCCTCTCTGCTCTCCTTATTTCAAGAAAAGGCAAAGTTGCATATTCCGTTCCTGGCTCGCTTCCAGGATGGACGCCAGGTCGGCGGGGTGGCGGCGGTGGAAAGTGAATGTCGGGAGGGGGAGGGGGGAGCGCGTATTAGTTAGCCTCGTTTGCCAGAGCCCCCGCGCTTGTCTTTTGTCTGGGAAGAAGCAACGAGCTCGGGGATTCGCTGAAAGGCCTCCAACAGAAGCAGCCAATGGCAAGGCCGCGATGCCGGCTGGCAGTTTGAGGATTGGTTGGCAGTCTCAGTTACCAAGCGGGATCGAAAAGGAGGATGAAGGTGCGGGGGGGGGGAGGTGTTTGCGTAGAAGTAGGAACGAAAATGCTTACGGAGCCCATCTCACCCTTGTCCTCAATCGGTTCTTTTCTGCCCCGTTTTACCCAAAGGTGTTTCAGCAGCAACACGAGTGATACGTGTCGAATGGCAGCCATGCAATTTGAATACTCCTCTGGACGTTGGTAGCCTTCCCGATCGGACCGTCCCATATAAGAGATACGAAAGTACCTGAATGGTGAGTGGAGGGCAGTGTTGACGGGGACCACGGTTTCAGGCTCACGTCAGATGGCCCCGTCTACACGATAGCCTCGCTTTCCACCGTTTCACACTCATCCTAGTAGCCCTGGTGCCCTTGACAACAGAGATGATGATGATGATGATGATGATAAAACTATACGGCTTTAAGGAAAGTGACAAGTTCGGTTCTAGCGGGATAATCTTAAATCCCACTACGGTTTCAATTGAACTCCGGTCCTGGGACGGAGAGATTTCTTTTTAATGTATTTTGAGATTTCAAAAATAGAGAGATTAATCATAGTTAATGGAGTCTTAAATAGGCTGCTATTGGTGGGAACAATATCCTCAATTAAAATAACTAAAGAAGAGGAAAGAAAATATTTTGCATTTGCCCCTATGGGTCTGAAATAGATTGATAGTTAGAAGACAACTAAAATAATCCTGGCCATGTTTCCTCAGAAGTAAATGTCATCTGAGATCACAGAGAGATACTTCTAAATGCAGAACTGCAGCCTCCTTCGTATACATATTTAGTTTTTCTTGTTAGTATTCCAAATTTATGCCCTAAGTATATTTATTTCAAAGTAAATTTCACTGAATTCAATAGTAACTGTAAGAAAGCATATTTGGAATACATTGCAACTTCATGCAGCATTTATACACTTTGCTATCTTGTTGCAGCTAATCCAAAAGTAATGGTGCAAGATGAACATCTAATCAACCTCAGTTTAATACTAGAATGTTTCTATGACCACACTATAGGTGGATGTAAATAAATTAACTCTGAGAAAAAAGTAGGAGTCTTGGACATTTCTGAATAATAATGGAGCAGATTGTACATTGAATGCATCCACTTAGCAAGAGATAGAATCAAAGTGACATTGAATAGAGTTGGGCACATCTTATAATTTTATAGTTGTCTGAAAACGCCTGACTGAAATACATGCAAAATTCACAGAATGTATCTCTGTACATCTCTGTTCAACTTACCTGCAAAGAAATGTCCACATCTAAAGACACAAAGTTTAATTAACATGTTTCTTGAAACATTAAATGTGTTGCTTCTTTATGCACTGTAGTTTATTGCTGTGTAAATTAAGAAACCCATACTTTTTCCAATCATATATTTCTGGAAACATACAGCTGAAGTTTTGATGTATGATTAAAGTGAGCAAATATTCTGCTGAATATTTAGAAGCCTACGTTCACTTTTCAAAATCATGGCAATTGAGAATTTGAAGTTTAAAACTACTGCTTAAATAATTCACTTAGAAATTTATTAAAAGAACTATGTTGCTATACTAAACTGATTATTTATAGGAGAATTGCTTAAAAGTTCAGAGTCTGATTCAAAGTAATTCCACTAAATAAATTATGTATCATTATTTACTGTTTAATGAATCTGTGATTGGCTACCGAGTCTTTTTTGTACATTCTTCAGAAATTATTTCAGTGTTTTTCTACTTGTCATTCTCTAATGCAAATAAGATGCCAGTTAATGCAAAGATATTTCTGAGATTAAATAATGTTGATGAGATACTCTTTCTAATATATGGACTTCAGTATATATTTGTACAACACGGTCATATAAAATTCTTAAGCAAGTTTGATATCTTTCTAAGACTGTTTTTATAACTCCCACAGTTCTTGTAGACTGTACATCCTAGATAGAAAGAATAATGCTAATCATTAGTTGAATATATTTTGCTTTACACTAATTTGGATACTAGTTACTAGGCAGAAAATGTGTTTGCAAGGTGGAGATTACTTCATATGAGATGAAAGTAAAGCAGAGGCATCGCTTCCTCACCACTCAATGTCTGGCCTCGTTTTTCCACAGAAGAAAGATTCAAGTTATATTATTTTTATTACTTTTTACATCTAGTTCTAATTGATTACTGTTATTATATCTGTAACTATAATAAAAGCTATTTTGCTGAAAGAGCAGGATGACATATGTTTTAAAAATAAAAATAAACTTCAGAGCCTACATTTGAATTCCATATACGATTCATCCATGCAAAATCAAGTGCCTTTATGCTGATTTTTTATCACAATTTGCTGATATTTTTAGATATCATGTATTTATTGCTTATCTAGTAATAATATGTCCTTTTTACTAAAATATAATAATAGAAAACTGACATAATTTGCATTGAATTGTTGTTGACCTCCTATTATGAACATATCATATGTCCTGTGCTAGCCCTAGAAATGTTCACTGAATTTAGCTCAGTTCATTTTCACTGTAGTTAATTTCCCATCGCTTGTATTTTTAGCAATAGCTACAATTTTTCATCTCTTACATACAATGGATGTTAAATATTAAATGTCTGATCAAAAGTAAATACACAAAGTTCAAGAGAACTTTACTTCATGGCAACAACCACAAGATTTATATGTCTGAAAAGATAATAGAATGTTTATATGTATAAATATATATTAGTTTTACATCCTGTCTTTTCACAGGAATTCAAAGTGACATACATGCTCCTTGAAAGAGATTGCACAGATACTGGTTGGCTTAAAGACAGGTGAGCTTCCATGGCTACAGTAGTCTTGATTCTGAATCTTCCCAGTTCTGGTCAAATCTTACAGTATATTTTACTATACTTCACAGTGATACTATAATTACAATACCAGTAACATTCAGGAATATGTAAATTTACATTCTTATCAGTGTAAATGCATCCAAGTAAACTTTGAATAGTATCCAAATATCTTGTTAATAGATAATTTCTTCTATTTTACACAACCCAAATTTATCAGATTTCCTCTACTGTACTGGGGAATACTCTGTTACTGCAGACGTCCATGGTCTTTGTGTTACTATAATAATAATATGATGATGATCTTAAAAGATACAATTGAATAAAATCAACAATCTGCCTGCTCTCTGATACAACAAGAGAGCTCAAATTCTTTTTCATTTCCTTGCATCTAACAATTTCTACTTTGAAGTGACATTAAATTTTAAACGCTTGAGCATTTTCATGTACTGTAATTTAGAAAATGCCAGAAGAACTTTTAACAATATGCAGAACACATTCTGGATTCCTTTTGGATAGTACTACAAAAATATGATAACCAATAACCTATTTTAGCTCTGGCAAGCTTGTAGAGCATAGATTCAATAGAAGAAAACAAACTGTGCAGTGAATTCCATGTGAATTTATAGGGAAGTAAGCCGTCATTTGTATATTATGTTAAATAGAGATTAATTTTAACCAAAGCTTGTTAAGTAAATCACTACAATTAGGTTTTTATACCTTAAATCATAAATCATGCTTTGCATGCCTTGGGCTTAGATTCACAAGTCTTCAAGCTCTCTAATTTTCATACTAGCTTCTTGAGGAAATCTAGGATCTGTAACCTGGTAAAGCAGTAGGGAATTGATAAAGCCCAAAATATAATGGCATTTGTACATATAGCAAAATGCTATCTATTGAAATTACAGCTAGGTGGCTCACATTTAGAATCTGAAAACTAACAGTGGGACAACAGTTAATGTCAGTGGGGCACATGACTGAAAGACCCAGTTCCTTAGTACCAAAGTTCTGATACTGGGAAAAATGGAAGGGAAGAGAAGAGGCTAACTAGCAGCAACATACTATAGATGGATTCAGTTATAGAAGTGATGGGTATACTGCTGAAAGACCTGGTTAGAGACATATTGTCATGGAGAAAATCTATGTGGTTACTAAGATTAACACTGATTTAATGGCATATAATCAATCATGTTAGTAGGTCGATCACCAAACATCAGAATGGAAACCCAATAAAGCCTTTGAAATGCTGTTCTTTGTTTGGTGCCCTTGTTTATCCAAAGAATGAAATTTCCCATGTGTGAAAAGAATTAATTGTCCTTTAAAATAGTTAAAACTGGAAAATAAAATTAATTTAAATCTCTAAGTTAATTAGTGAATTAGTGTTAACTGAAGCATATATACAGTAACCTTTGCTAAGGTGTATTTAGGTGTAATAATATTGTGGATTACCCACATTATATACAGAATGCTTGCAATTACCTAATATGTCAGTTAGCCATACACATAAGCCATAAATTCTCTTGTTCTTGGAAAAGTTCTGACGCAGGTTGCCTCACATCTTTAGTAGAAAAAATGTGTATAACAAAAACTCAAATCTTTTTACTTTGACCTAAACAGGCAAACCATTGTAAGTACAGTACTAGAGAGGAAAGCAAAACTTCCTCAGAATGAGATCAATTGATATAAACTATGATAAATTTCCTTCCTATGTATAGATACACTTACTCTAATTGTGAAAATAAACCTATTGATTAATTCAAAATGAAAATTTTTGAAGCAGTGTAACAATAACCTACTCCATCCAATATTTCTTTTCTGTATACTGTATGTCACAGCATTATCTCTCTCTTTCTTCTTCACTTGGAACCAAAAAGAGATGGGAGTTGGGGGAAAAGAAGGAAAGAAAAAGTGAGTTTTGTAAGAACAAGTTCTTTATTGCATGCCTAGTAGGGTGTGGGTGTGGATATTCATTAGCAGCTACAATTTAATTGCAATCTCTAGCATTGCCATCAATTATACTGTCAATGGAAGTTGTGAGTAACATGGGCAATTAATTTTTTGACAGTACTTTGATCACAGGTTTTCATTGGAATTTTGAAAGGGTCTATTTTCAAATTTTCCAAATTTGATTTCTATCCTCATTCTATCCTATTCTCTTTCCCAAGAACTCGAGAGTTTTTCTATGGGGATCTTCCTTCATTTTATCCCCACAATAGCATGCTTCTGAGGTTGGTTGAGTTGAGAAATAGTCCAAAGTTTTTGAGGCTAAAAATGATCTTCTCATCTAATCCAACACATGTATCATTATACCACACTTCATTCCAATACAGATTATACAGTATCGCTACTATATATCCTCTTCCAAGTTGGTGAAGTACTCATGGCTGCAGATTGTACAATGAAGTGAAGTTGCATGCAGTTCATAAAAACTTTAAATGATAAATAGTGTTGCTCAAAATAGATATTAACAATACAATCCTATATGTGTCTATTCAGAAATAAGTATTGCTAAATTCACCCAGACTTACTCCTATATTAGTAAGAATCAGATTGATTTTTAAGACTATTTCATTAACGCAGTAGCAAGACAGGGAAACAGATGAATGCCTTATTTATTTCCTTCCTTCTTTCCTTCCTTCCTTGACTTGTGTGCCATTCTGGTCATAAAACCAACTCTGACAGGCTTATAGACCTGAATACAGTAATTGGATTAAAAACATGAAACTAATTTTTTAAAAATTGTAATAAATGCATTAGAAATGGTTCAAATACATACAATATTCCCCTGCAAGAAGGAAAAATTAAACACATCAGACTCCAGTGGCTTGTTGAAAAACCATGTATTACTGGTTTAGGAAAATCCATGAATTGGGGTTAATGCAATCACTGGAAAATAGTGTTCCAGAAATGGTCTATGACTCAGAAGGCCAAATTCTGTGATTCCTGCAGATATCCGCTACAGATATAGGGATCAAGAGGGGTCTTTTTCTGTCACTTTTTTTAGATGGGCAGAAGCCAATGGGAGTAAGAACTCTTGAAAAGAACCAGGTTTTAAGGTATAAAGGCCTTTAAAGGTGATATCTCATTTTCAGTTCATAATACAAAGTCACACAGGCAAAGAAATTTGTGCCCATAACTGCTTGAGCTGCTGCATTCTGGACTCACTGAAGCTTCTAGGTTGTTATCAAGGAGAAGCCCTGCACAGAGAATATTGTAGTAGTCTAGATTAACTAAAGCATGAATAATAGTTATGCCAATCATGTTCCTCGGCCACATTTTTCATCTCCAATTCACCTTTTATCCATTATGAATCCACTCCCTATAATTTAAAGGAACTTTTGAAATGCTTGGTAACAAATGAAATAAATCACAGTTCTTTATTTCTAAAGCAAAAAAGAATATCATACCTTGAATAATAGCAAATCTACTATCCCATATTTTTATAGATTATAGAGAGAATAATCTGGTTATATAAATTCTCCATTTTGATATGTGATTTCCTTTAGTCCCATGACTGAGCATAATCAGTGGTAGATAAATTACTTGAAAAGTTATCCACACTCTCAGTAATTTAACATGTTAAGATAAGATGCATTTTAAAAAGAAATCACTTGTTTTGTAGGATCTTTGTAAGCCCAAATTCCTGCTGTTTTTGGAATATTTTAGATTTTCACACACATGGAATATTATTGTTTTATTTGTAGTCTTTGATCCCAGAGTCCTCTAAAAAGTATTAAATAGAGTTTATTTGACTGTGTGGTTTCATCTATGCATTTCTTTTATGTAACTGTTTGCATTATTTTATGTTTTCATACTTCACTATACTTGAAAAATCCCTGATTTTTTTGCATGAATTTTTGGTAAATGAATTTAATAGCAATAGAATCTTAACTGCTTTTTCCCCATTTTAATCCAACAAAAAAGACTTGGATGAGTAGAAATCATATATATGTATATGTATGTGTGTATAAAGTGTGTAGGTGTATCAGTTCTGTGACACATATTGGACTAAAAGATATCTACGGAGATTCTCAGTCATCCAGGTCATGGTTGTCTCAACCGCTTTTTTCCCTTTTCTCAACCATGACCTGGATGACTGAGAATCTCCATAGACATTTAGCTATGCTGTTTGGGATGGACACCCTTTGAATGGTGCGGGAGTATGAACAGATTTCCAGAAAAATTGCAGACTACAGGAACCATTTGTGCTTCAGTTTGAGAAAAGAATGCAAATGACTAGCTGCCTGCAAGGAATATAAATCCTTCCATTCCCCACCATCCAGTCAGAGCTGAGAAGCTTCTTGGATGAGAAGCAAAACATCTTCAAAAAAAAAAAAAAAACGCAAGAAAGTCCAGCTGCCTCTTGAAAAAAAGCACCTTTGAGTTAAGAGAGCGACTACAAGAGAAAGGTGGCCCCTGAATCTCTTAGGCCTTAATCTGACATTTTCACCACTATATCATGTTGTTCCTCAGTTTGTAGAATATGCCATTTATAATGCTTCATTTAAGAGGTGTGACCCAAATTTAGGAATGGAAAGTAAGACCCCTACTTTTGAAATGTGATAAGGATTCTGTTATATTTTGAGTACCATAATTTGAAAATACTGAGATTATAGTCATAGGTCAAACCAGAGTTTGATTTTAAGTATTATCTAGAAGGCCTTGGAAGAGAAAAATGCCATTCAGATCCCACTGACAGATCTGTTATTTTGACATCTTTTCCACAAGAAGGATAGATACCTGATCTAAATGAGTAAACAAATCTAAGAAAAAAAAGGCCTTGAGGATATAAAAAAGTGGGAAAAAAAGTCACATTACTTCGTAATATGTTGAACTAAATATTCAGAGGCATATACCACAAACAGTTCTTACATTGAAAGTAGCATATTGCTTTCAGTTGCATTCTTTCAGTTTGATCTTTCAAAATGGCCCATTATTCCACAATGCACAGTTGTCTGGTTTCAGTCATTCTTTTAGTACATTTTAAAAATGTTAAAAGGTTTCTTCTATCTGTAGAAAATGCATTTTTCTTGGCTTTCTTTTCCTAAGAAACACAGTCAGGAAATGAGGCAGAGGATCTCTTAACATGAGGTGAAAATTGCAGTTGCTTAATGAAACTTTAATTCTTTCATTTGAAATAAAACATATTAGATATGACTTATCACAATGGTAACCCTGGGGGTGGGGGAGAAGGAAAAATACAGTTGAAATTTATTATTAAACAATACTCAGTGTATGTGTGAGACATGTTGTCTGACAGCAAAAGTGGGTTCATATATCAGGCTTAATTCAGAGATAATGAGTGATGCCCACAAGGATTTTTCTTGGCACCTTATCCTACCTGATCTTAATTTTATTTTTAGATTCTGTTAATTAAATAATTAAAAAAGGAAATCAGGTAAACTCTAAAGCCTAGAACCAGTTAGGGCAAGTTGTAAACAAATTACCATACATTGCTTCCAACATATATGGTATATAGTCCCTTCAAGCATGTTTAATATATTAAAACAGTTGGTTGCTGTTGTAGCCCATGCTTTATTTAGAAATGCCCAGACTTAGCAAAAAATACGTTTAACATAATAACTTGCCCAGCGAAAAAGACAAAGGTAGGTTGGAAAGAAAGGGGAAATAAATTAGCAACAATTTTGATTCCTAATCAATTAATGTTTTAACTGGCCATAACCATAACAGCAATTTCTTGAACAGGCCAGCTTCTTAATGATATTTTTTTTGTGAAAACTTTTATACATGCACTGAAAACTCCAAATATGTCCACCATCCCAAAAAGTTGTTTATTCTTATACTAATAATGGTTTGATCTAACTATTTGCAAAATGCTAGTTTGTAACTCAAGATATATCAACCACAATAGCTCAATTAATACAAGAAATTTTATTACAGCATGGCTGAAAAAGATACATTTATTCAGAGATATTTTCTGGGGTATAGTAAGGAGGCTTTCTTCACCTGGGAATGGAGGAAAAATAATTTTCACAAGCAGTTTTGACACCCTTTCCCTATATTTTAAAATTTAAACAGTTACTTGCAACAACAGTACTAGAAATAATACTTTTTGCAGATCTGTGCTTGGTTATCATTCAGATTAAAATTCTGCAAAGAAATATAGCCTTTTGCAAAATTAAGGCTATTTCAGTGGCTATATTCTTTCTGATTTTGTTTTGTTATTAAAAATAGGACCATCATTTTGAAAACTAGTCATTATATAAAATATGATACATACATTTAGTACATTCAGTTGGATGTATCAAATTTTAATACACAGTTGGAGAACCTAAAGTGCTTCCATTCACTTTTGTAAATTTGTATGTGTTCTCTTTTCTCTTCAGAAGAGTACAGCACATCCAAAGACTGAAGAACATGTTGAAAGATATTTTTCTGAATAAATTATGTTTTGATCGGAAACCCAGAATCATGTGTAACTGAGTGTCTTGGTCCTAGAATTTTTGTCTCTGATTATGAAAGGTTTATTTAATAGGGCTGTGCAAATCATAGGAAACAAATCTTTGCAACATGCTGGACTGCTAATAAAGAATCTCAGTTTCAGGACCTGCAGAACCTGATAGCTTGTAATTTTTTTAAAAAAAATTGATTTATATGCCGCCCTTCTCCGGAGACTCAGGGCGGCTTACAATGCGTTAAGCAATAGCCTTCATACTTTTGTATATTTATACAAAGTCAGCTTATTGCCCCCACAACTGGGTCCTCATTTCACCTACCTTAGAAAGGATGGAAGGCTGAGTCAACCTTGAGCCTTGGAGAGATTCGAACCAGCAGTAAATTGCAGGCAGCTGTGTTAATAACAGGGTGCTTAAATCACTGTACTATCAAGGCTCTTTTGTAATTGTATTGACTTTTTATTTCCTATGGTGTATAGCCTTTAGAGCCTA